AAAGTAAACAAACAAGGGCACACGAACGACGACATCGGATAGCTCGCGTAAAGCTAAATCAGATTACTGATGTGGAACACCAGTGCAAGTGACTCCGACAAGTCGAACCAAGTCGACGTGGTGAGATTGGGAAATGCAAGCCCCTCTCCCATCTTCGGAGCTATGCAATTTGACAGTGGCAAAGGACGTATTGTGCCATGTGTAGCCGTTAGTGTGCTGCATAATGCACCGCCCGGTGCTTTCTATCAATAGTAACCCATCAGTGGATGTGGCCTGCGGTCGGTCAGGTCAGGTCACGCGGGTCATGCCATGTCTGCACGGGACTCGTCTGGGCGGCTCAGGAACTAAGCATGTTGCGGTAGTGCGACGACGGACGCTGAGTGACAACATTTTCGTCATGCATATGTTACTGCGGCCTATAATATGCTGAACCCGTCCATGGAAGGTGAACCCATCGTTCAGTGTTTCGTACACCCCCATTTGGCGCACTTGGTTTAATTTGACCAATTAACTACCAACCTGACTTAATCGTATTCCATAGAGCTACATTATTGCGTTGTAGGTCATTTAAGACCAGGACATGGCCGGCAACACAGGAGTACATGAAACGTTTTCAGAACACATATTCTACAGCACGCGTGCTTACGCCGTCGCGCGTCTGAACACGAAATGCGAATGACGTAACTTAGAAGAAGGTCGTTGTTTTACGGAAGGATTAAGACGACCTATCAGCATCACGGACGGCATGGTCGTTCGGACTATCGTTCTCACCCGGTGTCTGAGAAGGTCATACTAACACACCAGACGAGGGCAATAGCCCAAACAATTACGTCATCTAGAATTCTAAAAAAGCGTCATTAATCGTGAATAAAAGAAACTTCGCCCGCAATGCGTGATCTGTTGAGGCTGTTCACCAAAAAATCAGCCTTCTGTGAGTAATGGCTCTAGCGTTAATCCTGAATAACCTCAAGGCCTTTAAGGGCTCTCGTCGGCGATAAGTTTTAAAGGGATTACAGTATTTGTCAGCGTGCACCGTTTATGAGATTCCGACGACCACAGCGGTTATATAGGCACCCAAGGGCTATGGCGCAGCCAGGTTTCAACACCCTTCCCTCCTTACGCCCCCCCCCCCCCCGCCATTCACACGCTTGGGAGCTGAAGGTCCTTGCCACTGAGTCATACTGAACGCGGAGTGATTACATGGTGGTCTCAGATAAGGAAATAAGGCGGGGCATATTCGGGTACGTAAGTAATGCTTCTAATCTACGAACAATGCTGATGACCGGTCTGGCAAATCAGAAAAACTAGGCCTGTGCAGTGAAGCAGCGTCCAGGTGAGACAAGATCAGGAACAGCGTGGCGGGATCTCAGGCTGACCGGCACTAGCTTGAGCTACTTCTCAGCCCCACTGTGGAATACTGCTGTTAAAGCAAATCGGTGAATGAATAGAAATGTGTGTTAACTTCGGCAGCAAGCGTGCTCAACGTCAAGAACTCACCAACGTAGACACGAATTTCATTTTGTTTGCAGGCCTTGTAAGCAGCTCACTCGTTGACGGATGGACGGAGAATGCGGCAGCTGCCAGTTGTGTGCTGCACTGATTCTCGGTGCCGTTCGCAATCGGGTGACCTTTGCTGCCGTGCCACTAAGGTCAGGGGCGAAGTTGGCGCGACTGGCTGACCTATTGTGTCACGCGGCGCATTAAGGGGAGAGAGGGCCGCTCGCCTATCATTTATACGCTTGGGTCTCCGGGTTTCTTCGCCCTGGCAGCTTGGGTACAATTTAGGTTTACTTTACGGCGTTGCATGGTAAGAGGCGACTGACAAGTCAACTCCGCTGGTCCGAACTCCAGTAATGATTCCGTCGCCTCAGTCGAAACGCATTTTGTGTCTGCTGTTGCCACGACAATTACAGCAGGTATTGCGCAAATTAGGCCATCTTTAAAACTACACGTATACAGTTCTCAACAAAGCCATATTTTGCCACGGTCTTCTGTCCTGGCTGACACGCATGTAGTGGTCAGCGCCTGTAAATATGGTGGATGGCCTGTACCGATCCCGGGTCATATGACCTGGGCCGACAAGTGAGGTTAGTCGCGAGATGCACAGCGCTTTTGTGCGTGCCAGCAGTTTACATATCCCGGGAAAAGATTCTTGCGTATAGTTGCCTGGCTCGCTGTAGCTACAATCATAGCTAGACAACCCTTCTGTTCGAAAACGCACATAACTTCGATGATCTACAATCATCGATTATCGTGTATGAGCGTCATTCGAAACGTCAGTCATCCCCCCTCCCCCCAGAACCAAACATCAAAACACTTACTTGTGGGCAAGATCACACAGGCAGCAGCTGGTCCAGACGGTGCTCTCCACGGCGACTGTATTCGGACACACAAATCAAAAGGCATACCTGAACCATCACCACCTCGTTCCTCCCTGAAAAATCCAGCGTCATGCAAGGAGGCAATGCCTCTGCTGTTGCCTACTTTAGCAGCTATTTTCGGCTCAGTGCATGTGGTGGATAACAGCGCGTGTTGCGACATAGCCTCCCACCTAGTGCCTTCTTGATGACGCTGCTCCTCCAGTTGGGATCGCCTGCCACGGGAGAACCACCAGCCTCAAGCTCGGGGAAGAGAATGGTTCTCCTTGTCGCATGCTTGAGCACGCAAGCACAGCAAAGCTCACATAACGAAAACACATGCGTACGCAAACGTTTGAAATGCCCTTTACGTTAGGAGAGATTGAAAGTTTTTTGGAAAATGGCTCTCCTTGTCGCATGCTTCAGCACGCGAGCACACCAAAGCTCACATAACGAAAACACATGCGTACGAAAACGTTTGAAATGCTCTTTACGTCAGTAGAGTTCAAACGTGGAAGGGCGCGAAAGGTTTTCCGTGACGAGGAAATACCAACCGACGTGATTGGCAGCAGTGGGCTGCTTCACCGTAGTTTACTGCGCACCGTGTCTGGTGCATCACCTGCTGTCCTGACCTCTGACGTTTTGTGTGACACGTCAGGCACCATGCCAGCCAGGCGGTCACGCGGGGCCCTCGCCGCTGTCAAAACAAGACGGCCAAAATGTCACCACTAAATGACAACCTGAATCACTGTTTTCAAACCGGGAACTTTTTATAGGTAACGAAGCAGTTCTGAAAAATGTGACTTTGAATTGACTCTTGCCCTAATGGCAGGAGGAGTCAATGCGACCCCAGCCGAAATATCTTGAGGATACCTCTCCATCATGTTACGCAGTAGCATTCAAATTTTCAGTAGCCTCTGAGACATTCGAGTCCCGCGTTAAGGCACCAAAAACGTGCATCTAGCCTTTATGGTGTCTGACTACGGACTTCTTTGAAACGCTGCACAGCAACCCACGGCCGGCGCGGGCGGCAGGTGGCAAGCGACGAAGCCCCCGATCGTGCGCTGGGGCCGACATCGTTACATTAACGGAGCCCTACAACATATGCTAACATAGTCCGTCCCGGTGGCTCAGTTGGTTAGAGCGCCTGCCTTCCGTTCCACCCACCCGTGGCAGGGTGGGTTCGAGTCGCTTTAGGGCGCTCGCTGTTTGCCCTTGACAGGTATGGCCTGCGGCCGGTGGCAGCGGTCGCGCTAAAGGTCAGTTGACGTCAGGACGGACCGTGCCGAGCATTGCGGCATGTTAAGCTTTCGCCACTAAATTCTGCCGTTGCCTGAAGTTGCGCGATCGGATGGTGGGGTCAGGACCAACACAACAAGCACTGCTTAGCGTGAGCGCTGATTCCAGAACTCCATCCATTCAAAGGGTTCAGGATCAAATTTATAAAAAGTTTAAAGATGTTGATACTCAAAGTATACAAGATCTTAGATCAATTTGCTCAGAGGTAAACCAGTACCACTTCTGTTCAAGTTACATCTGCTTTGCACAGTATTTTTTGGTCGATATTGGCATATAAACTAAGATTGTCCAATTTTTCAGAAAAAAATTAATATTTGACTAGACCTTGGCTGGGCCTTTTTTATCTGGGAGCGCAAAACTTATCACCACTCGCAAGATATCACTGGAATATATCCACTGTCTCCACGAAGCTCTATCTTTCTTAACCTGGATTTGGCAGGGGTTCGCTTTGCCCCTGTCAATCCGCGTTACGAGAAACGGTCTAATCAGGCTGAAGGTTGACGTACTGTCTAGGGGCGTAGGGCGTAGTTTACTTTTCAGTTGAGGAGCCCCCTCCCCCAACACCTCGATTCGAGCTCCATTCCCAAAACATTGAGAAGAACGTGTGCTAAATCCGTGAAGAAACCCGTTTGTTGATGTACCTGAGGGGGGAGGGGGCAACTTGCGTCACTACAACTTAGGGGGGGGGGCAACTTAGTCACTACCGAGCCCCCCCCCCCCCCGAGCTTATTTTACGCCTCTGATGCTAACTCTAGTTCTTCCAGCCCGGGTATATAATACTGAAAGCCTATTTACCGTTGCATGTACCTTTACTCAAAGGCACGATCTGCCGTTGTGTGCACCTTTACTCAGAGGCGCGATCTGTCTGCGTACCTTTTCTGAGAAGCACTATCTGCCATTGTGTCCACTTCTACTCTGAAGCACTAGCTACCGTTTTGTGCAACTTTACTCGGAAATACTATCTGCCGTTGTGTACACCTTTGCTCTGAAGCACTATCTACCGTCGTGTGCATGTTTACTCTGTAGTACTACCGTCGTTTTATCTTCCGTTGACAGCCAACTGGTTGACATGACATGTCCGATGCACTGTTGGCTTTGCTGTACTGATGCACGGAGACTTGTGTTTAGGCACTCTGTGATGCGTTCTTTCATAGACGGTGAAATTCGCACAGAGCGTAGGGGACTCAGGAATGTGTTTTCGTTTCTTAATGCACCGTCATAGGCGTAATGTTAAACCCGTTTTGTACACATTACGGCCCAGCCTCTCAAGCTTACAAAGTTGTATGCCCTCGCTGCCACCTGCGTCCCACTGCGTCTGAGTTGTTTCAGGTAGGATCGCCTAAATTTCCATCGACGGTGATGCTTTATTTTACCATTCGAGTAGTTCTGACATGATCAGTACGATGGCCGTCTATCACGATAACGGGAAAAGTGCTACCTACCTCAAAGGCAACATAGTCGCTCACTCCGAATACGCCGTGCTGCAGACAGTTTCACCAGCTGGTATTGCTCTACACATTAATATCTGCTCGGTCGTCACCAAGCCGTGACGAAGAGGTACAGCTTTATTCAAACTACTGAAAATCATGTGTCACACTTTGATACGCATGGAGTAGTTCAGCCATATATAAAACCTTGAGTGTTTGGATACGTCCTGTGCCGAATTGGAGAAGCTCTGAGAACACCCTCCGGCGTCGCGAAAGTAGCAGCCCAGCGTCACTTATGCCGGGATGCTGATAACTTCTTAAAACATTTCATCATGACATATGCACTTCACGTTGCGTGATGTTCTGTCAGCATAGCACCTCTACTCACGGCCGTCAGCTTCTGCCAGCCATTGATGCCCAACAGAGTGAGAGAACTGCACTCGTGCACGACTCACATGAACCTGTTTTTATCCAGCGCGCTTGGTGTGGTCGACGCGTCGTTTTTGGCGCTTGCTCAGCCTCATACCACACACATTTCTCAGCACTATAGGCTAGACCCGTTCGGAGGCCCGGGCTTGCATTCATCACGCGCCGCGGCGCATCCGCCCGCCCTTCGTCGTCAGCATTCCCAGCTGTCCGCAAGTTTGCAAGTCATCGCCGGACGGCGCTAGTGTAGCGAGTAGTCGGGTGGACGGAGCCGGAAGTTGTTGAGGCCGCCGCGGGGCGCCGCCAGTGTTCCAAAGCCCGCCGCGGCAGCGGCCGCCGCCGCCTGGCCGGCCGTGTATGCCAGCGACGCTGTGACAAACGAAGCGGGTTAATTAGCAAGGCCCAAAGAACGGCGCCGAATTCATCTGTGTAAGGCTTCCGTTGGGGAGGAGCATCAAATGGCAAGGCTTGGGAGCGATTCAGCGTCTGCATAGTACCAGACGAAATATACCGTTAAGAATGATGAAATGAAAACTGGAACGGCGTCCTCAAAGGACCCGGAAGTCAATGGCACATGACGTCAAGCAATTCCGCAAACCAGGAATCTAACAACTATCCAAACAAACTCCGTTCCATGAAACAACGCGCGGTCCCGTTAGCCATGTCGTTCACGCCTGGACTGCAGCAGCCAGCGGCCAACAGCCGTTATCCGCGCGGCGTCCCCCGGCTGATCGGCGGATTACTGGGAAGCCCGGGCTGTCTGGCGGCTGGCGCCGGCGACGTACCGGCGGCGGGAACCATCGCGCACGCCGCGCTGCTAGTGGTCGAGCCGATGAAAGACTGGCCAATCATGGCGTAGTGGGCGGTGCCAGACGGCTTCCACGTTGAGTAGACGGGGTAGTCGCCGCCGGGTGACGTCACAGTCGAAGTCGAGGCACACAGCGACCCTGGCGGGCGGGATAAAAGGTTAACGGAATTCTGATGCTCGTGGGGTGAGCTGCTTCAATCAAGCCGTTGCCGAATTTTTACTGAGACATGGCAGGGACTAGTGACACACTGCTGCCTGTTGGTCACTTCAAACGTGTGTATGCGATTGACCAGGTGAGCAGTAAATGTGGTACTATAACCACATTGGCTGAAAGTGTACGGCACAAAACACGAACACATCAGCGAAGTTCGACATTTGCTTTGCGTGGACTGTTCTAAAACGAAATTACGCTATGACAAGTGCTTCGTCTGCATCGTCTTTGCCCATGGTGTCAAAGTGCAATTATGCAGCGTCTGACTCCGCTTCGCTGGGAAATAAACAAGCCTCTTCGGGCTTTCCGGCAGGACTATTCTCCGTAGCTTTTGAATGCGTGCAAACACCACGTAAAAGCTTAATGAATAATTTTGTTGTCGCAACGCATACGCCCCCAGGTCCTCCGTTCTTCTGTAAGTTCAAGCATCTGTTTCCCCTCATTTTGCTTCGGCTCATCTCAGGCCGTCCCTTCAGATTTTACACCAATGAATCCCGGCAGTCGTCGGCAGTCACATCTGAGGGCACCACTGCCTCCCGCCTCCCATCCCGAGCCACCGTTTCCACGCGTGGAACGCGCGGCTTCCACTGTCGCGTCGGGCGGTGATCGCTAATGAGTCAGAGCCATTTTCACCAATGACTCGGTGTTGGCGTTTACTCCTGAGTCGGGGTGGATCGGTGTTGTCGTTTTGTGGTGTTATGGTACTTCTCATTGGTGGGTTGGTATGACAGCTGTCATCGACATGTCGGAGATGGAGGTTCCTTCTGATCAAAGACGAAAGCCGTGGTGTAGTTTCCTATTCAGCTGCCCCCCCCCCCCCCCCATCTCCAACTTTGAGAAAAAGTTGGTCAAATCCGAGGGGAAATCTGCTTGGTGGCGTACTTTGGCGGATGGTGGCGTAATGTTCCACTGCTCGACCCCTCCCCTAAACTAATTTTGCAAGATCACGCCCCAGATGGGAGGGGTTGGCGATTCTCGTCGATGGGATGGGGTCAGGAGTGAGTGGCGATTTTCATGAGTGGGTTCAGGGTGGTGGTTCCCTTCACTGTTGGGTTGGGGGCGCCAGTACATCCATGAGTCGGGTTGGCTCTCACCGGCGGGTGGGGGTGGCAGCTCTCACCGGCGGGTGGGGCGACTGCTCTCACCGGAAGTGGGGGTGATAGTTCTCACCGGTGGGTGGGGTGGCAGCTCTCACCGTTGAGAGGGGTGACAGCCTTCACTGTTTGGTGGGGGTGGCAGCTCTTACTAGTGAGTGGGGTGGCAGCTCTCACTGTCGGGTGGGAGTGGCAGCTCTCATCGTTGATTGGGGTGGCAGCTCTCATTGGGGGGGGGGGGGGGGCAGCCCTCACCGGTGGGTGAGGCTCACCGTTGGGTGGGGTGGCAGCTCTCACTATTGGGTGGGGTGACAGCTCTTACCGGAAGGTGGGGGATGGGGTACAGCTATGGATCCCGTCGGCTCTCACCGGTGGGTCGGGGCGCAAGCGGCTGCTCTACCACGGCCGCGTGCTCGACGGCGCTGGTCATACTCAGCGCCGGACTGCGCTGCGCCAGCAGGCTCCGCTCGTTGCGACGAAACTTGGCGCGGCGGTTCTGGAACCAGACCTGGCGGCCAAGGTGGCGCGCGCGTCAGCAAAGGCCCGTCACCGTCTCCGTCAGCTCCGTGCCGAGGGCGCGCGTCGAGCTGGCAAAAACGCTCGCGCCGCCGCGACCTGACACAATTAGCTAATCTAATTACGCGGGACCGTGCCGCCGGCGAAACCCAAGCCAGGCCGGCCGGCTCGCGTTACGGACCAATCGCGGCCGGAATGTCGGCGGCCGGCCGACGCCCGCCGGCGCCAGCGGGACGGCACCGGCGACGCAGGGGGCGCAGGGGGCGGCGCGGGCGGCGCGCCGTAACGGCCGGCCCCGCCAGCGGCTGTCAGCCGAGCAGATCAGCCGCTCCGACGGAGCGTGGATGCCGGCTCCGTCGGGACGCGTCCCGGTCCCCGTGGAGACGAAGCAGCGGCAGCGGGTCGGCAGCGTGCCGGCAGCGGAACGGCAGCGGGCCGGCAGCGGGACGACAGCGGGGCGGCAGTGGGACGGCAGCGGGATGGCAGTGAGCCGGCAGCGGGACGACAGCGGGACGGCAGCGGGACAGCGGTAAGCCGGCAGCGGGCTGGCAGCGGGACGACAGCGGGACGGCTGCGGGCCGGCAATGGGACGGCAGCGGTACGGCAATGAGCCGGCAGCGGGCCGGCACTGGGACGGCAGCGGGACGGGATCCGCCGCGATGCCAGCCGCCGAGTGTGACAGGACGCACGCGGGGCAGCCGAGAACGTCTGAGAGACGCCCGGTCCTCGGGAGGTGGTCCCCAGTGGAGTCACACTGGCGATAGCTCAGTCATTTGATCTGCTCCCAGCAGCCGTGGCTTGACGAAGCTCGCGCCACCTACGGGGGTCGGTGATGACCCCAAACCCCCGGCGGGCGCGGCTGAGCTCGGCTGGCGGCGGCGCGCGCCTGCTGCTCTGTCCGAGGCGGCGTGCGGCGGTCGGTGCCGCCCTGTCCGGAGGGCGGTGACGCTCCGCCTGCCGTGACGGGTGCCGTCACTGCACATCAGGCCGATCAGAGCTTGCCGCCGCCGCCGCCGCCGCCGGACCGCCGCCTATTTCCGGCCGGCTGGCGACGGCGCCGCTGATCCGGCCCGGGCGCTCCCCTTCCCGCCCCTCCCCGCCCCTCCCCGCCGGCCGCCACACACAGGCACCGGAGGCAGACCGCTGGCGGCGAATTATTGGTGCCAGCTTCACCCTGAACTTGAACGGAAGGCTGGCAGCGACAACAAAGGAACGCTGATCTGCCCCACACCAGATGCGTCCGGCCTTCCGCCCCGACATGTGGAACGAAACCCGTCTGATTCTGACTCAGTTGGGGAACACCCCACAGAGACATCGAAATGCTTAGTAGCGAGGCCGCTCGCCAAGCTTGTACGAAATATAACTGGCTTTGTGTTTGGGCAAGCGGCCCAACCCGCCCCGACACGACCCGACCCGAGCCGTCCTAACGCTTTTGGAAAGCTTGCAGCTCCACAGCCCTTAGGCATGGAATGATGGCCGGCGATTTCACCAAGTTTTAACCAATATTTTTAAAGCTATGGCTCTGTGCGTAGGTTGTATCACTTTACGGTACCGCTGCATTTGTCATGCACTGCTACATTAAAAACTTAATCGATTCATGCGAAGTTCAAAACGAACTACCGTTTTGTTTCCAAAAACGCATGGCAATGCCGTATGCGAACGTCCGCCTGGAAAAACTATATTATTAACTTGGTGGCACCAACTCCCTGGAGCAGCTCAGGCACCGAACCTGGCGCCCTGCCGACGGGACGGGACCTGGCGAGACCTGACCGACAGTACCTGGCAGGACCTGGCCGGAAGGACCTGGCACGACCTGACCGCCAGGACATCCGATTTAGGCAGGTGAATGGCTATGACCCATGCATGCTTTTCCAGGTGGTCTCAAGCCAATTCAGTTTTTAGTTTACGTCTATATCTGTGATCAAATGTGGGTTGTGATGCAAATAAGGTGGCTTAGAATGTCGACCTCTGGCTGAGATGTTCGTAAAATGAAGCAAAAAATAAGGCAAAACAGCCGTGACCTGAAACCGAAAACCTTGGCTTAGGCTGGCTCAGACGTGCCTTCTGATAAGGTTTTCAGCACGCAGCCGGGCCATGCTTCTTATTCTTGTAAACGAAAAGTGTCACTAAAATAACACAGAAAGATATGCATGTCAAGCTGAAAATTTCCAAGGCGAATTTGTGCGGCCACATAGGTGATTACGGATCTAGATAAGTTCAGACTACTGAAGGCTTTCAAAGGTGCCGTAAAAAAGTATATTTTAACACCATCTAAGGTTACGAAATACCTTTTCAGAAGAAGCAGAAGTAAGATTTGAAATCTGTTCAGGCAGTGTCAAAACTGTTGAAATGGAAACGCCCCCGCTACGTTATTAAAAATAGGATGAGCCGCGCGCATCATCGCCCACAGTTTTTAGTCGTAACTCATCCGTATCACAGTTTTTGCGAATTAGACAGCTGTGCACGCCGAGACGAAGTGCGACTTTTGGGCGCGTTCGTCGCACGTGATGCTTTCTCGACGCAAAAATTTGTATTTTAAGGTGCCGCAGGCGACAGGCTGGCTACAGCACGTGCGCTATAGTTGGCTTGGAATGGTGACCGCGATCGCTGAAACGAACAACATTTCGGCGAAGCATTCACTGCGACTTCTGTTCGTATGTTTACACTTAATTAAAATAGGATGATAGCTGTAGCAGCCGTAAGAAGCATGTGAATGTCACGGTGCATCACCGTACCCGCTAACGTTGCTCACCATTACTGCCATGCAAACTCGGTGGTAAACTGTGTACAATTGACGGGCCATCAGATGATCCGGACGGGGTTGCGTGACTCATCAGGCAATATCGGCATCCAACTGATCAGAAAGGTCGTCTTGCCATCTACCACTTTTATGGCCCAAACTTAACCAAGCCCTTTCCCTGAGTTACTTGGAGGCTTGCTCAACCTTCATACGAGAGGCATGAACAGGCAGTTTGTGATAGGACGCTTACTTTCACGTTACTTCACCTGGATTTCTTGACAAAGGGTATGTGGCCTTCTTAATAATTACATTGGAATAACATCTCAGTAGCTGTATTGCTGAAGTTCACTTGTAAATGGGTGATGAAAATTGGACTGCAATTTGAATATGCAAAGAAGTTTAATACTGATTTGAGGCGTACTCTCTCTTTTGTGACGGGGAGCGTAAACATTTACTTCACTTTGCTTCTTTGTTATAGGAAATGACTTGACTTTATGATGTTTGCAATGCTACTTCATGAGATTGAATTAAATCGCTGAAAATGCTATGATAGGTTTGATTTATCTCGTAGCAAACCAAATTTATTGTTTGGCCTTTCTTCATTTTGCTTTTAATTGAAGCGATGTTTCCAAGGCATCTTTTCAATTATTTATCAGCTGACACCAATCGGTCGATACCACCTGTTCCTTTGAGAATTTGACCGCAGGATATGATAATGAGTTGCGTGATCTGTTTTTGTATTGTTAGCTTTTGGAAATAATGTCTTTATAGGTGTGAGATTCTTTTGCCAATTGCCGTTCCAGCCTGGTACTTTAAGGTCAGTTAGCAAGTGTTACGTTTTGTCTATCTTCAAACCGTCCCATCCATGTGGGCTGAAACAAGTCAAACTGGTCAACTCATAATTGGGTCTAAGTGCAAGTTCCTGATTCAATCTAACCCGACGCGTGACGTATTCGCATTCTGCGGATTCGGCCAATTTGGTGAGTGCTTTGCTGTGTTAGTGCTTATACGTTGTTTGTTATTGAGAGAAGCAAGAGAGGTATTAAGCATCTGGTTTTCGTCACTACGAGTTCAGAATGCATTGCTGACAGCTATCGGCGTGCAATACAAGAGGCGGTATTCGTTAAAAGGCGTTGTCTTGGCTACATTTGTAATACACGACGCTTCGAGCTTGTGTTCAGGGCCAGAAGTGAGCAGAGTTGAAAATATCAAGGCGTAAAACCCCATAAAATCAATAATCAGTGCAGACGCCGTCACTAAACCAGATCTAAATAACAAATGATCTAAGCTCGCACATCCTAATAACGGATGAATGGTCCTGCATTAAGAGCTAGCAGAAACACGAACAACTAAGCCGGGAGGTTACGATTGACAACAGTATAAGGTTAGAATATTGCTGACCACAAACATCCGATACGACGAACGCCACATGAGCCTCACGAGCATTGCTGATATTCGGGGTCTGGCGTCCTAAGACTCAATCCACGGCACTGCTGAGGGCTATCCAGACGGCTACGCCGAAAGGTTTCGATGAGCCGTGCTGGTAGACAGATGGATCAGGATAGAGAGAAATTGCCGGCGGGCGTCGGTGTCCGTTACAACGAGCAGTGAGCTAGTTTTGAATGTGCCTTACCGAAACAAGGCTGCTCAAACCAGGTTCCATGAAACCTTTTGTGTGTTCAGCCTCGGACGAAGATTAAAAAAAAATGCGTGCAACGATCCCTAGGTCTGCCCTCTAGCTCTACGAACAGGTCTGGGAATAGGCCTAGAAATACTAATGTACAGCAATTTTTAGGTCGGCCCAATCGTTAGCTACTGCTAGCGTACGTATTTCAGAGTTAGTATTTGTTGCGCTTTGTACCCCTGCTTATGTCGGTCTACTATGGGTTTGCCCAGTGGTGCATTCGCTCTCCTTCTCCAGGGTGTTCATGAAATGGTCACGTACGCTACGCGCTGTTTTCCCGGAAAAATATTCTTGAGAAAGGTTACAAGATATCTCCTCTCGACTATTCTGTCTAAGGTTTAGCATTCTGTTACGCGGCGCGCTCGCAGTGCACCCCAACAGGCCCTGCTGGTATTAGATGTGGAGAGCGGAGAGCATAGTGGCAGGTTACCCCCTGCCCCTCCCCAACATCGCTGGTCAAGCTGTGACAAAGCATGGTTATAAGATGTAATTTACTTTGACGGTAGGACTATGCTGTACCTTATTCTGTCGGAAAGCACATGTGTTGTAGACAAAGCACAACTCTTCAAAGGTCCTGAATGCATACATGGGGCGGTGCTTATTACCAGCGGAATCTCGGTTTCTCCGTTACAGAAGGCGCGGAAGATAGCGGTAGTTTTGACCAAACCATCCGCACGCTGAGAATCCAGCAAGCATGGCCTCCAGTCAAAGTCAGCGCCAGTAAGGATCAGGTTTCGACCTCACCATTATTATGCTAATGGTTCTGAGACAACCATTTTACGAACTCGAAACAGTACTGGAGGCAATGATCGTCAAATGCTTCATTACCGGCCAGCGTTTGAATGCGGCATTCGTTCAGTTTCCTGTCACTTCCCGCCTGTCACATTTGTATGATCAGCAAAAAAGCACGCTGTGCTCAGAAATTCGAACTTGAGAGGAGGCTTGCATTCGACAGCTGCGAGACATCGCTGCTGGTTCCTTCACAAGCCGAGTTGGTGAGCGCAGAGTGCCGGGAGAGTTCCAGCCTTTCGCGCAAAACCGAATTATGTCCACAGATATGTATGACATAACGGTGGAAGCCTAAGACATCGATTAATTTGCTGAAATTTCCTTTTTTGTGCTCACCTTTATGACTGAAAGCGGGGACGATTGGCAACAAGTATCATGAGCTAAATTAGTCATTCTACCTCTCTTGTTTGCTATCGGCGCGCGATCGAAGTTTATCATGACGCCAGCTGAGGATCTTGCAAAGCGATGCGAACATCCTTCACAACATGCTGGTTTTCTTTCATCATTACCGAAAGACCCGCAACGTTTCCACACAGATACATCATAAGGTAATCGTTTAAATGAGTGCAAACAGTTCTGCTGTCGCTGTGAACTTTTTACAGTTCGTGAATTTACATGCTTCGGCATTGCCCGCCACGTCACACACTGCGCTTCCCTTGAATGATACTAGCCAGCGCCGACGGAGCCCTCCAATACGCTCACTGCCTCTCCACCTTACCAGCCGCTCACCCAGCTCACCGCCTCCTCGCGATGTAACTGCTCACCACGTCACACACCTTCTCACCACGCCATCGTCACGTCATCTCGCTGCTCACCCTTCCCTCCCCGGCGACAGCTCACCTGCACGCGCGCCTCGCTCAGGTTGACACGGCGCGCCAGGTCCTCGCGCACGAACGCGTCCGGGTAGTGGGTGCGCTCGAACACGCGCTCGAGCGCGGCCAGCTGGGCCGAGGTGAAGGTGGTGCGGTTCCGCCGCGGCTTCCGCTTGCGCGCCGCCTCGCCGCCGACGGCACCGCCCTTGGCCGTCTGGTCACAGTCCTTGGCGAGCTCGTCCTCTGTCGGACCACGGCGGGGCAGGGGAGGTCAGGCTGCGTCGGCACGGATGCAGTAATGTCGGCGAATGCATAACAGAAGGGGGAGCGCGTGCCAGTGAGATGCCGCATAGGCCATTTTTCGTGTTACACCTTCAAGGGTGTGTCTTGGAGGTGTGTAGAGTACTCAAGTCCGATCTGTTGCTGGAGGAGGAGGTATTTACATCTACCCTGCTTGGAGCCTCGGGTTTGTCGCTATCCGTAACGCTTGTTGACTCGAAAATACACAAAAATGATCACCTGAGTGTGTTCCCACTTTGAGCGAACGAGTGACGAGTCCATGCCTAGCCCACTGTACGACAATATTGAGCTGAACTGACCTCCCCGCTATATTTTGGTTTTCCCTAACCCCAGCAGCGGAGCATGCATAGGGAGATGTGCCGTACTGACCACAGCGCTGTGCTGGCAAAGAGCTGTGCTGGCCAAGGGCTGTGCTGGTCAAAGGCTGTGCTGGCCCTCGTGCTGGCCATACATGGTGGAGCACGTCGGCGCCGTAGTCATTTTTCAAACAATTGGAATCCCGACTGGAGACAGCATTGCGTTGCAGATATTGTTCATGTAATATACCGGATAACTAAGGTCAAACACGTTTCAAACGAATACATGCGGAGAAAATATACCTTTAAATGCACCATCAACATGCATGCGTGATTTCGAACACATAGCACTGGCTTGCCCGCGTGTCTTCGCCGAACGCTAGTGACTGCGATAAGGCCAATCAACACCCAATAGGCACCCTTTAACATTGGAGAGTGGTCGTGGTCATCCATCCTGTAATCGCCAGAACGCGATGCTGATGCTAACAAAGCCATTGTTCGACCTCAAGGTAGCCCGAAGCACGCTTGCAATTTTGACAGCTACCACTTATTTTTAGGAATAATACTCGCCCATCTCCGTGTGCCAAGCGATTAATGAATTGATTGTAATAATAAATGGGTTGATTGATGGTAATGCATCCCTTAAGTCCCGCGGTTACTTCCGAAACTTAATGAAATGTTTAGTAAGTGTTTGGGCACTCTTGCGTACAAAGAGTTTGGGAAGTGCGTCAGTTTAGCGATATTGTCTTTAATTCAGCAGTACACACGACTCAATGCAGTATCACAGCTTGCTCGGTGCACGTACAGCCGGCCTCAGTCTTGTCAGCCCTCTGATGTGCCTTCACTCTTCATCCCTGTTTCGCGATCGCGGCATGGTGAGCTGATGGACCACACTGCAGCTCATAGCCATACATACGCAGCCACAGCTCACAGTCACTCCTCACAGCTCTAGCTCAACTAACGGGCAGCGCTGTGCCAGCCGACTGCTGCACAACTACACGCTACGGCGTCGGGCCTCTTCCGCCTCGACTGCCGCCGATGGCGGTGGGCCCACTCCGCCTCGACTGCCGCCGATGCCGGTGGGCCCACTCCGCGCCGACTGCCGCCGATGGCGGTGGGCCCACTCCGCCTCGACTGCCGCCGATGGCGGTGGGCCCACTCCGCTTCGACGGTCGCCGATGGCGGTGGGCCCACTCCGCCTCGACTGTCGCCGCCGGCGGCGTACCGTCGCCGTCGCCTGGCCATCCGTCACCGCCCGCCGGCTGCATTTGACAGGCGCGCCTCCGATCCGTCAGCGCGCGGGCGGGCCGCGTCGCGGCGCGCCACCGAGCCGACGCGCGCGCGCCGGGTATGCCACCACGTGGCCGTCCAGCCGCGCCGCCGCTGGAATGTGCCGATGCCGCGGTCTCATCGGCGGCCGAGGCGGGCCGGGTCGCGGTCTCATCGGCGACCGGGGCGGGCCAGGTCGCGGCCCCTCATCGGCGGCCGGGGCGGGCCGGGTCGCGGCCCCTTATCGGCGGCCGGGGCGGGCCGGGTCGCGGCCCCTCATCGGCGGCCGGGGCGGGCCGGGTCGCGGCCTCATCGGCGGCCGAGGCGGGCCGGGTCGCGGCCCCTCATCGGCGGCCGGGGCGGGCCGGATCGCGACCCTCATCGGCGGCCGGGCGGGCCGGGTCGCGACCCTCATCGGCGGTCGGGGCGGGCCGGACCGCGGCCCCTCATCGGCGGCAGGGGCGGGGCCGGGGCCGCGTCGCGATGTGATCGGCGGTGACTGTGGCGGGCTGTGGTGGGCGTGGGCAACTGGTAAAAACACGGGAGATGAACTGGACACACCTCGCCGGGCTCATGTCTGAGCGCGCTGCCCACGCTGCCCCTCCTGCGCGCTGCCCACGTGCGACCCTCGATCTCATAAATGCGATGATATGCGCGTTGTCGCCGGTCGGCTCGCGTCAGGCACACCGACTCCGAAACTTTGTGGGCAGATTCGTTCCCCTGACAACACTTCCCTTCTTGAAGTTGATCTGAAAGAATACCTCCAATTTGAGCATATGTTTGAAATTATTTATCATATTAACATTTTTTATACTTTTACAATGATAATTTTAAAAATTTATGTTACTGTAATTTTTTAATTTAATTGATTTATTTACTTGTATCTATTTTAATTCAATTTTACGATAATAATTAATAACAATTAAGTATGCAGTGAAATTACATTATGCCAACTTTCAGTCCAAGTAAAAAAGACGTATATCTTGTTCTATCAAAAGTGTCATCCTAAGAGGCTCACCTGAGATAAGAAACCCGATCGCGGTCTTAGATTCAAACTTAGCCATTGCCTCTCGCATAGATGGTGTCATCAGGAGAGCAAATCGTTCGCAGTAGCCCTCACGTGCGTGGGTTGATAGCATACTCGAGCCGCCTCACCAATGACAGCCTTCGGCGCCATCATGCACTATGTAAGCAGACTAGCATCTCTGAGTGCGGTAGTATCATTAGATAGGGTGCTGCAAAATCTTACATGTTTGCAATTGCGTACGATCCAGCAAAAGGTTGTCGGGTCGTCGGCTGTAACCTCTTTTCGTGTCCCTGATTACCAGGTAACGCGATCTTCCGAACAACTTCGGTGTGTTATTGATTAACGCTAGACTTGCGCATCACATCCTGAACGTCATACCCAGCGCGATTGGGCTTGGGCACTAGACCAACCCGGCAGGAACCTCAGCCATGTTTTCCGTCACCGTCCCTGCCGCAACCATTCGTGTCCGTCCATTTTGCATGCTCTAGTCCCCATATCATATGTGTCCCATGCTTTTATATCCATGGCACAGCATACACCTGACCAATGATTTCAGATCATAATTTCGCCCGTGATTAAAAGTATGGGTTGGTGGTTCTAAATGAATGCAGTTCAATTGTGTGATTTGGCAATGGGCAGCAACACATTGGGCCTAATATATATTTATTCTTATGCTCCGGCGGGTTGTTTCGTCAATATGCACTTCAATGAAACTTTGAAAGGCTCTTAACAAAACGGCTTGCCCTTAACAGCTTTGCGAATGCCACTTGCAAAATTGCGGAGCATTGAAAGTCAACGCCCACTTCACGTTAGTCGCATCGCAACGATTGAAACATGTTCTTTGCGGCCAGATGAAGCCCCATATCTAGGTTTTTCAGCATTTTATACTGTCTATTTCGGGACACTGAGAGGGTCGGCTGTTAAAAACAGCGAATCAGCCGACTGGCCGGGCCATGGAGAATACACTGATTTGTCGCCGAACTGTCACCTGGGTCGGCCGACCAACAAAAAATCATGGAATATTTTACCCGGAAAAGATACCATGGTGCCGTAGAGTAGGATAAAGAGTGCTTACCGAAACGTTTGCGGTGCTGTGTGACGAAATGTTTGCCATAGAGGCATAATATCTATGCATGCAAACCTCATGTTATGTTTTGATGCTGTACTATTTCGTCTCGGCCGTCACCAAAATTCGCTGTCCAAAAACATATTTGGCACCAAGGCTGGAGTTCGGCTGGAGTTCTACGGTACGGTAGTTCTGTGGTACGGCTGAAGGTCTGTAGTGCATCTGAAGGGCCGTGGTAGGGCTGGAGGTCTGTGGTAGGGTTGGAGATCTGTGGTACAACTGAAGGGCTGTGGTACGGCTGGAGGCCAGTGGCAGGGCTGGAGATCTGTGGTACAACTGAAGGCCTGTAGTATGGCTGGAGGTTTTTGGTGTGACAGGAGGTCTGTAACACGGCTGGAGGTCTGCGCACAGCTGGAGCTCTATGGTACGGCTGACAGGCTGTAGTAAGACTGGAGGTCTGTAATACGGCTGGGGGTTTGTGGTGCGGCAAGAGGTCTGTAGAACAGGTGGAAGTCTGTGGTACGGCTGGAAGTCTATGATACGGCTCGTGGTCTATGATACGGAAGGAGGTCGTCATTATGACGGCATGGCCATGATCCAGCACGGAGTGAGGTCCTCTTCGGACTAAGAAAGTATCGCTTCAGCGGTTGGGAGCAAACCCAGGGTGTGACTGGGAGGAGGCGTTTGTCCCGACCAACGGGAAGCTCGAGCAACGCAGCCAAGTCGTGCAGACGTGTTGGATTTAATAAAACCATATGAGAGCTACTATTGCGCTGAACTAAAACTCGCATCGTCACAGTTGCTGAAATTTAGGCCTGCACAAAAACACATTACAAAGCAGCTACCGGCTTAATCAAGCGCGTAATGTTTGGGAGGCTTCCAGCCCGGTCTAGCTCACCATACATCCTGACCTGTCCAGCGTGCAAAAAAGGAAAACCACTGCCCATACACTCCGTAAAGCGGTCTGGCTACAACATGCATCGCATAAGTACAATAATCATGGCATTTCATGCACGCCTGTTTTTCATACTTTGACCGCGAAGGCCCCCAATCCTGCGGAATGCCCCATGTTAATAGCTTTATCCATGTGCGGCGCTGTCTTTGTGGCACCGCCTCTGGGGTTGGTGTATTTGTGGCACCGCCTTTGGGGTTGGTATATTTGTGACACCGTCTCTGGGGTTGGTATATTTGTGGCACCGTCTCTGGGGTTGGTGTATTTGTGGCACCACCTCTGGGGTTGGTGTATTTGTGGCACCGCCTCTGGGGTTGGTGTATTTGTGGCACC